TGTCGGATCTATAATTTAGATAGTTTAAATATATGTATATATATATGCTTTGATCTAATAAAGATACTGGCAAGGCTGCCAATATATAAAAAAAAAAAAATATATATATATATATTTTTATGTTTTTATTGTAAAATTATTAATATTTTTGATTTATACTTGGTAAACTTTGTTATTTTTGATTTATTGTTGAGTTATTTCATAATATATATTATTGTTTTAAATTAGACTTTTCTTTAGTTTTTCTTGTTTAAACATATTTTTTAACTACTCTTATATATTAATATATTTGTTTAACTTAACTGGTAATAACACATTTTATTATTGAAATATTTGATATTTGGTTAAACCAAGCAAGCATATTACAATGTGTTGCCCCTATTTATAAGATACTTTATATAAATATTTAATAGCTTATTAATTTGTTAAATTTGTAGATAATTAGCTTTAAGTAATGTCACAAAATCCTATCCATTAACTACAATACTAATCAAAAAATGTGACTTTTATATCACTTTACTAAACAAAATTTCACTTTAATTAAAGACACCGGGCAATCTCATGACATACGTTAAGCAAATATTTCGAAAGACTTCTCTTTGGAGCCAAAATTAGTGATCTGTAACGGTTTCTATCGAATTTTACTTAGCGATCGATTTGACGATCATAAGATAGTTTTTACGAGAATTTCACATAAAATTAATAATTTCAAACATAATTTATTCATAAAATGAAAAGAAAATAAAGACCCAGTGACTCAAAACAAATTTTAAAAAAAAAATTAAAACTAAATCAATAAACCCTAAATTATAATAAATGGGTTAGACCCAATTGTTCTATATAAAACATTTAAATTTCAATTGACAAGTAAAAGAAATGCAAGTTCTATTTAGATCAGACAAAAATACTAAATATTTTTGGTTGATAAATTTGATATCTGTTCGCCAAATCATTTTTTCGATTTACTTTTATAACTATATCAAGTTCTATGCATAAGGATTAACAGCCAAAACTTTAATAACGGGTGGACTCTTTTTACAATCCGCAGTGATAACAACTTGAAGACGGCAAAGTTCTTTAATAATTTGAGAGTTGGGAACGGTGGGATCAGAAACTATAGGCAACTGTGGTAATTCTGTAATTTTTACAATAGGTAGAGAACTTTTTGTAGAAGCTGCTTGATTGAGTGACGGAGCTTCTGCTGAGGGAATGTCCATTTTAGGGGATTCACTAGAAGACATTGAAGGTACAGCCACAATTTCTGTATCATCATTGCTATCATTTTCCTCATCACCGGGTACTGGAAACTCGTCATCGTCAATATCATCTTCGCCAATATCTGAGTTGGCATCATCAAATAGTCGATGCTCATCTTCAATTGGGAGGCTTGAAACATCCATCAATTCATAGTGATAATCGTCATTGACATCTGCAAGTAAAGCATCTTCATCAACATCTAATCCATCTTCTTCATCTTCACCAAGTCCGTCATCTTCAGGAATCGGTTCAAGAGAACTAACTCCCTGTTTCCAATGCAAAGTTAGTTCACTTGTTTCTGCATTGAATATAAATTTTTCTAGCGGAAGTTGATCCAAATGAACACGCTTTTCAATTCCAAACACGGGTACTAAAACATCAAATGCATGGTCTTTGACACCAATGACAATTGCTTCCCGAATTACGGGACCCGATTGTACAGCCAAATTATGAAGAAGGACACAGAGGAAGAGATGGCTACTTTGCTCTTGTGCATTTTTTGCAGCTTCCTTCTTGACATTGCAATGATTAGCCGTCTTCTGAACGGCATCCTTATCAAGATAGAAGCGTTTTTCTAGAAATGAGGTTATTCATTAAGAATTTTCAGAAATAACAACAAAAGCTTAACATTATATAAAGAGATTTTTCATACCACCAGATAACGCAGCTTCAAGCATACGATGAACAAGAACATCAGCATAACGACGAATAGGAGAGGTAAAGTGTGTATAAAGTGGAACATTCAAAGCATAATGGTGATATTTTGCAATGTCTAAAGTTCCAGTACAGAAATATTTAGCTCTTTGCATTGGTTTTATTGCAAGAAGTTTCAAAACCTTAAACGTATAAATTATTCATTTATTTTTAAATTAATAATAATTATTTACTAAATTCCAAAATATGTTTAATATACTCTAAAGTATTCATACCTCTCTAACATTATTGTCTTCAACAGCATTGAAAGATCTTTGTAAAGCACCGGCAGATGAAACATCAATATCATACCCTAATCTTTTAACATGCTCAACAAAATCATTCTAGAACATGGCAAATTATTTATTAAAAAGTAATAACAAAACTATAACACTATAGAGACAAATGATAATAAAATACATACAAGCCTACGTTCAATAGGAGGAGCATGCCTTCTAAGTAAAGCTTGCTCGGGAAAAGCACTAGATATTTTTTGTGCAACACTCATATTTGCAAGTAACATGAATTCTTCAATGAGCTGATTGGCATCTTTATGCTCATATACGTTGCATGCGATAGGATTATTGTGTTCATCCAGTTCAAAGTTTAATTTAATAGAGCCCAGGGACAACGCGCCACGCTTAAGTCGTTGTTCTCGCAAACGTTGTGAGAGGCCCTGAGAATATTAAAAGAAATGTAACTCATCGTTCTTAATTAATTTGATCAATTCTTGTAACTTACGTAGAAGACTTTGATATCAGCCTCAATCTCTTTAGCATCGTAATCATTAAAAATTTTGACTTCAGAGTTTAATGGTTTTCCTTCAATTACTTCCTGCGCATTTTCATACGATAATTTAGCGCATGGTCGGAGTATAGTGCGGCCGTACCACGTCTCAAAATGTTTGCCTTCTGGTGTCATTTTCCAAATTACAGAAAAGGCAAGTCTACAAATATGATGTTAATATGACGGCTATATATTTGCAAGGAGTTTAACGGTTGATCTCTTTGAGTATTACCTATCTGCACCAGGGTTTAAGCTGCATAATTCTTCGGAAATTAATGGTGGGAGCATGGGAACAGATTTTTGGACCAAATAAACGGTTGTTGCTCTTTTACGAGCTTCTCGATCAAGTGCACTGTTTTGTTTAACAAAATAGCTTACATCTGCAATATGAACACCTATTTCGTAATTTCCATCTGGAAGGCGAGAACATGAAACAGCATCGTCAAGATCCTTCGCAGTAGGAGGATCAATCGAGAAAATCCTGGTGGTTGACCTTAAATCTCTACGTGTTTCGATTTCCTTTTCTGGAATAGTCCAGGGAGTAGATGGAAGGCATTTTGTCACATTTTCATTGAATTCTTCAGAGGAAACGTTATTATCTTTAAGAAGTGCTTCCGTCTCTACTTCTATACTACCAATCTCTCCTATTTTTGTCACTAAAGTACCAAAAGGATGAAGAGAAGTTATGGGCCAACGCTTAATACAGGCCTATTTGTAAATGTAGAATATAAGATTTACAATGTATATCATTTTTACGAATAAGTATGAGTAGTCAAGAATACGGTTTCTAAAATGGTAATATACAATTAAAAACGTAATTTCAACTTACGACAAATAATTGCTGAGCATAAGACTGATGATTTTCGACAAAATCAGATGGCGCTTGTTCAGTTGGAATGGCAATTAAAGGTACGCGTTTGTCTGTCTAATGACAGATTAATTTATAAACAAATATTATTATATAATAATAATAATAATAATAATAATAATAATAATTGAAATAAATTATATATATACCGGCTTAAACCATACAATCTTTGGACGCTCATTTTTGTCGTCTTTTTTCTCCTCTCGAGGTTCTTCCACTTTGGGTTCAATCCCAGCAGCTCTATCTTCAGCTTCTTTTCGAGCTTTTTCAGCTGCTTCCCTTTCTTTAGTTGCAGTGGATGATGGTCTTAAAAGAGCAAGCGTTCTATGTACATTAAAAAATATATATGTAATTAATGTATAGTGAGCAGAGAGCGCAGAATATAATGCCATAAGCTCTGAATTGAATTGGATGGCAGTTATTACCCAGAAAAAAGTTGTCCTGGCATTCGTTCCATAACTGCAACAACATGGCCACAATATTTCGGTCTCTGTTCATCGGTAACAATGTCATCATCCTCGAAAAGAAGAAGGCCTTGTCCCTCGACTTCAACGTCATCTTTCTTTTTATCGATTTTTTTTTTTTCAATTCCAGCGCTTTCTTCTTTTTTCCTCTTCTTTTCTTCTTTCTCTTTTTTAGTCTGCCAAACTTTATCAGGATCTAACAATTCTACCGCGACTACATCACCTTCTAATGCGCGATTTCTATCTTTGGAGCCACATATGTAGATGTCAGCATCGAGTGACTCGGTGGCTACATAGGCATCAGATCGATTACGTTTGTTGATTCGCAGAACACCGGAAACAAGCTGACAACTTTTAAGAAGTGGAGGAAGAGAGGCTTGTGGAAGATAGGGTGCAAAGAGAGACTTCCTTTGTTGCTGATTGTTAGAGTTTTGTTGATTCTGTTGCTGTTTCTTCTGAATTGCACCAAACTTAGGTATTGGAAATGGCTGGAATGGTTGAGCTAGGGCAGAAAGGGGCGAGGCAGCTGAGTATTATTGGAATGATAAAGTGCATCGCATTCATTATTTTTTATAAAGAGCCAATTCTTAAATTTGGTCTATAGAAAGTTTTAAACTAAAACTTCGAGGATTGTCACAATTAAGCTATTTGTCTATATTTATCACTTACTTGATCGCCAGTTGCCTTCAAAATTTCTGGAATTGCTACGGCGATGGCCCTTCACTTCTGGTCCAGCAAGTCTGCCTTGGTTCTTTTCAAGTTCTTTAAGCACATCTTTGCTGCCATTAAGAGCTACACTGTGGCGTCGACCATGGATAGGAATATTAGGCTTCGCAATAGATGTTGAAGACGAAGAAGTAGATAACGTATAACCAAGAGATTGATGACGACGATGGGTCTTTTTCGCAGTTAGCTGTTGTTGATCGTCCATGGATTTCTTGAAGTCAAATGGAGACTTAGGAGAATCCAATTCTTGTTTTTTATCGATACTAGACTGTACCATGTCGTCAGGATTTGGAGATTTTCTGTTTGTAGGATTCTTTTTACGCCGAGTCTTCTTTTCTTCTTCAGTCTCATCATCTTCACCGTCATCTTTTTTCTTATCTGTCTCTTTTTCCTTCTGAACTTTGCCTTTATCAAGGCTCATACGCCTCAAAGAGGAAATAGTGTCTTGCAAAGCATTTTCTATGTCAATAGGTTTGCCGTCTTCTGAATCAAGAATAGGTTTTAATGAGGTAGTAACTGCTGTTGTCAAAGGAAATGAAAATGACACGGAAGTACCCTTCTTATGTTGTTTAGAAGGCGTATTAGTCCGCTTTCCGGTACCAGATGAACTCGATTCATGACGTTTATGCTTAAAAGCCAAATCAGCGGAACTATCATCATCTTTTTTATCTGACTTTTGAGGTTTAGATGGAACTGCCGGTAAACTCTTGAGACTTGCAATAATCTGCTGCAAAGATTCTAATGCTTCAGATTTATTTTCAGAATCATCCTTGCTGCCTTTAGATTTACCGTTTCCATTCTTCGAAGAGACACCTTGAAGTTCCCCAACGTTTGCCATTGATTTACCACGACGATGAACGGACTTATCAATACCATTGTTATTAGAATTTTTATTTTTGCTTGATATATCAGGAGTGTTAGCAGTTGATTTTCGACGTTGATGTTGGGCAACATTCATATCTAATACTTCGGCCTCTTTATTTTTAGAATGATCGGACCCATCTGTGGAGGGGGTACGGTTCTTATTCCCCTTTTTTTCTTTTTTCTTTTTTTCATCGACGTTGTCGTTACTATTATCATCGGAAATGACAATAGGTTTGCTTGCTTTGATGTCTTTACCATCACCCTTAGATGGGCTTTTCCAGTTTTGTCGATTTTGTTTCTTGCGAGCTTGCTTTTCCGCGGAATCTTCCTGCGCTAAAGCTGAGTTATCATTGGAAGTAGTAACGGACAACGTTTCGTTAGCTAAGGACGAGGACCCTGCAGTAGTATTCGTTTCGCTCGACATGGTTGTGTCAAAAGAATAATCTTTTCCGAAAATAGGTCGTAATAAATTTTCTTTTTTTTTTTTTTTAGATTCCAATATATAAATGATTATAAAGGGAGTGTCACAACCAGGTTCAGAGATTAAGGAAAGAACATTTGGGATAGACACAAACTATGTGGGACGTTACGAGAAAAAGAATTCGAAACGAAAGAATCACGAAAGTATGTGCAAAGGAAAAGAAGGTATGTTTTCTCCTTGAATGTGACACTTTGTCGGAATTCGTCGGATATTGACTCTGAGTACATGCACAAATATTAACGTTAATTGTAACTATTTAACTATTGGCACAATTGACACACATGACTAAAATCGATTGTGATAAATTATTTGTTTAAAAAGAGGCTTTTGTGCCACTAACCAATATAAAGATTAGAAGCTCCTAAAATGAAAGCCTCAAGTCCCACAGGTACGTACGTACGTATCTAAAAAAAAAGTCATAAATATATACAAATAATAGTTAATGAGTTCGGTTTACCAAATGAGTATACCGATACTACGTAAATTATTAATAAAAGAATCGGGTTTTAATACTAGACAAGTAGACAAGAAACTTAGTAACCTATATAAATGTGTTGTGGAATGCCCCAGTGATATAGATATAAGTCGATTTGCATTCAATTTTTGTGTAGCACTTCGAAGTATTACAAAACTTAACGTTAATATCAAAAATAAAAACTTTCGGCAAATATACGTACGTACGTACTCCTAGGTACCCTCTGGGACTGGCAATTTACTATTTAATTTGACCGAGTTGACGATGGTTTATAGCATCCCCATAAAATAATACCCCCATGATTAAGACCTGGATGTAGGGTTGTTAATGGTGTACTCCAGACTAAAATAAAACATAACCCGCTTCTGGAGTGCTCCGGAGTGGGTTATATGCTTTATTATTGACTGGAGCACTCCATTAACAACCTAGTGATCAGAATCGTTGAGTTGAAAATCATGGCAACTTTCCAACTAATCGATTTAGAAAATTTAAAATTTAAAACAATAATTATCAACTTGTTCAACTAGTTCAATTCCGAGATATTCCGTCTAGTCGGCTAATCCAGGAGCGACCGTCCTCGGTTACACAAAATGCAGATCATTTCCGACAACTTCCGTCACCGATTGACCAATCAAGTTCGTGGATAGTCGTCGAAACGAAATTATTTTATTTTTGGGGAATTTACAAATAAGGGCCCGAAAGTGAAAATAATTACAAATACGGACCCAAATTAAATATGGAGGCCTAATTTTTAAAGAATATTACATATAAGGGCCCAAATAACTGCGACGTTATTCAAGCCTGTGTTTTGATCGTTGTAAGAAATGCAAGCATCGATAAATGTAGTTATTAAGTGTATAAAAAATGTAACTATCAATCATAAATTAGTAATTATAAATGAGAAATGAATTTAATAAATTTTATTTTTTTTTGTATAAAATTGCTTATTATAACAAACCACTATGATGTCAAGTAAAACAACGCAAATTGGCATGACACGGAAGATGCTCCAACTCTAGAAAGTTACTCTGTTGAAACTTCGCCTTAAAATAATTGTGCTAGTTTAACGCTATTTTTTATATAATATTTAAGCGAAAATGATTATTACCAGCGCTTCATTTATACTTTTATCTAATAATTGTATATAAATAACTCTAAATGCCTTATAATCATGATTTTGCAATCATTATAATTCAAATGGTAATAGTACTTTGTGACGCAGTAATTACGTGATCACATTTGTAATATTTTTTTAAAAATTAGGCCCTCATATGTAATTATTTTTAATTTGAGCCCGTATTTGTAATTATTTCACTTTCTGGGCCATTATTTGTAAATTCCCCTTTATTTTTTTTAGTTAGCAGCGGCAATGCTTTCCAATGCGCAGTGACTTTTAATTTGCATAATACAATGTAAATAATGCAAGGGATTTAGTGATACAATAATTTTTTATTATAATAATTTTTTTTATAAAAAAATAAATATAAAATTTAATAAATTTACAATGCAAGAAATGATTTTTTTGTAAGTTCTAATTTATCCTCTATTGTCGTAATATTATCTATTATACCTTCTACGTTACTGCAATCATTATCCATGTCTTCACTCTTTACATCTATCGATTCATTTTCCATTTTCTCTTTCGTCAAACTCGTTATCAATGCCGTGACATTATTTTTAACTTCACCCTGAAGATAATCGAGACATATAAGGCATTTTGAATTACTTTTCTGCAGGCAAAGATCGTGATAACCATGGCCACATGCCAAAATGTATCTATCAGACAAATTGGTGTCACAGTGTATATAATCGCACAGAATAGCAGTATTAGGTTTTTTAGAAGTAACGAAGCCTCTTGGAAGATGATGATCAGTTACTTCATAACCTAAAGAAATAAATTTATAAGTGTTAATATTGTCAGATGAAGAACCAACAATTAAAGGACAATGATTACGCATTTGATATATCTTTGTAAATACACCTAAAAGTGATGTAGCGCATTTCTTAGAAAGCATTTTCAATTGCTTCGACGTGTACAGATATTTTACAGAATTCACAAATTGTTGTCGAAACTCGCTATCATCTTGATTTTGAAAAATAAAATGTGCTTCTGTTCGTAATTGTTTACCCGTGAAAAACTTAGGAGTATGCTGTCTAATAATACTGTGAACAAGTTCTACGGGACAATCACTTAGTGAAGCAAGGTGATTAGTAAGCATGTAAAAGATTGGATAATTAGTTTCTATTCAAAAAAAAATATCAAAAAAAAATATTAAAGGAGCACGTTTATAGTTCTTGCGATCGAATCGAAGAAAAAGATCACTTCAGCAACGCATGCAAGCTTCCTCGTAAGCTGGCCAATTACCCTCCCAATGGTGTACCGCGTATACATCAAGAACTAGAAAGATCAAGTTGCCTAGCAGATCGGTTAAATATAGAAACTCTACGTTCTTGCATATATGACCGAACTTCAAGTAGACGATATCGACTATATCCAACCATGCTGCATGTACGATATGAAGAATTAAATCAATTCTCCATGGTTGTGGCTTCTTACCTATGTCTTTATTTGTTCCGAATATGTCTCTATATATTTCATTAAAAAAAAGGAATTTTTTAGAAAAACAAGCTCACAAGAATTCAGAGAAACATGAAGAGGACCCATAATGGGTAAAAATGCAGTAACAAACGGTGGAATTGTTGTATTGTTGAGAAGGATTCGTTAGGCAATAACTTTATGAATAAAAAATTGCTCCGGCCAGTCTGTGACGATAGAAACAGCATGATTAAAAAGATACATATTAAACGATTCGTGATTATATACGATTTGGAGAGCTTGTATATAATTTTCTGTATTTTTCAACTTGCTTTCAACAAAATCAACAAGAATAGCATGCTTAATATGCCGTTCACTTTTTTTCTCTACTAATCTATCATTATAGCTGTGTAATGTTAGCTGGTCGAAGAGCTCATCTTCAGTACATTCTTTTTTTACATAATCCCACATATGCCTTCCATTATGATAAGAAATTCCAAGGTTGGTGATAAATCGTTCGTCAAGGTGCCTTACAATCAACTCATCATTAACGATCTTGAGATTTATTATTTTATAACAGAATATCACAGGTGTGGGACATGGATTAAGTAAAATTGTTGCCATGTGTGTTGGGCGAGATGTCGATGTAGTATCAGGTTGCTTGGGAACATGAATATTGTGATAATCGTCAATATTCAATACCAGAACATTTTTAGAAGATCTCATAAGGGCATTATTCACGTATTTTCCATATACATCTGATGTTCGCTTCTTTCTACACTCTACTGTTCTTGCTGTTGTAGATAACCAAGATTTGAAATTGTATTTAGACCTTCATTTGTTGTGCCTATCGAATCTAAATAATAAGCAAAATCAAGCTTAAAGGCATTAACTTTTATATTATTCAACGAAGCAAGAAGATAACATATTAATACTATTAATTTTTTCATATGACCTATCGTTTGCTCATTACGTTCTTGTGGATGATCTGCAAAATAAAGTTGATCAAGAAAATCTAACAAAATTGGATCAGTAGTTTCAAATAATTTTTGCATTTCATCAAATGAATAAATAGGACTTTCTTTTGTTATATATTCTCTATCATAAAAAACTTTCGCCATTATTTTAATGGCTTTAATAAGTTCGATCTTTGTATTTGCATCATCATTCATTCTTACATCATCTATACTTACTTCTTCTTCAACTATGGCTTCTTCATCTACATTTTTTACGATTCTTACTCTTTTAGGGCCTCTGTTTAAAGGATTTTCTACAAGATTCATATAACAGCAATTATATAGAACAATGCTTTTCTTCTAGGTTGTCTTCACTAAACCGTTATTTTTAGCTTCTTCCCATTTTTTTCTGTCCAACGAACAGAATCTGGACGAATTAGTAGCTGGACATGCGGTGCACTTATTACTTCCAGACATGTTTTTACTAGGTAAATCTTAATATAAAACTTGGTGAATTCAAATGGATTCAACTAATATTATGAAAGTACAACACGAAAACTTTAGGTTTGCTTAGCACTTAATGACGTATCATAGAATAAATGGGCTATTCGAGCCCCTTAAAAAGTACAAAAAAAAACGCACAAAAAAATTTTTTATCAACTATGATTGGCTGATTGGCATGTGATATTAAATCTTGATTGACAGAAGGATTTCGGAAGTGATCTGCATTTAGGATGGTCGCTCCTGGAGTCGGCTAATTCGTGTTGATTTCTTTAGTTTGATTGACTAATCAATAAATTTAATCACATGATATGAAAAATCGATTAGTTGCAACTATACAGTAGTTGGCAACTAATCGATTGGCAAAATTTTTACACTATAACAATCCTACCTGGATGCAAATCACGGGAGCTACATTATTCAAACGTGGTTTTTTAAAGACATAAGCCTGCTGCAGCATAATATACCCAGGTACTAATCAATTTAAAAAATGATGGTTTTGAACAAGACTCCAGGTATTATAAGCAGTGCTATATAGTATTTGCTATATTGATATTGATATGTATGAAGTTATATAGTTGGCTAATATTTTATACCCTTAATCAGAGTTTGACAAACTTTGTTGAAATATAAAGAAATATTGGTACTGTTGCCAGGTAGTAAATATAATTATGTGGATTATGTAGTTAAATTGATTAGCAAAGATTTTGATATAAATACTGTAGTTTTTTATTTATTTGTGATTAGACTAATTGGATATATGGAAAAAAGTTTTTAAGGAAATGTAGATCATTTGTCATATGATCTCACGTGCTAAAAATTTTTTATACAAAAATTGTGTATATGCTATTAGCAAAAGCTTTTAATGCCACACCTAAACTTTACTAAAACTTTTGGTTTAGGCCACAGATAAACTAGTTTGAGTTTCTTTTCTTGCTATCATTAGATATGAAGTTTAAGTTGTAATTCTTTTTTATATAAAAGATTTTAATTAAATTTCAATAAAGACAAAGACATGATCTTACTATTAATATTCAAATAAAATTAAAAATTTGTATACTTTATTTTTAAATTTAATTAAATAATTGTAATACAATTATTTTGGTAAATTTTTTAACTTTAAGCAAAAACATTTCAACAACCACCTAATCAAATTTGAAAAAAAATCAAATTTGATTAAATGTTTGTTAAGATATCTTCACTCAAAGTTTTAAAAATTTTTATTTTGATAGAAGATATAAATACCAAATGTGAAATTTTATTATTTATTTTATTACTATATAGTACAAACCATAGTATTCTCCTATTAACAAAAGGTATAGTACCTGATATATACTTAGATTTTGCCCATAAAATGTGTTATATTTGAGGTATTACTGTATTATGATCCGTGTTATATAATATTAACACACTTTTATAAAAAAAATATTATATTAAAATATCAACAAATCTTTAATATTAATTAAATAAAGATCAAAAATACATTTAACACAAATCTTTATACAAATAATTATACGTACGTACGACAGAGTAAAAATAGGCTATGTAGTAAAATGCGCTATGTAAATTATATGAGGGTGAAATCCGCTTTGCATCTGTAAACAATAAAAAAGGACTACGCACAACAATCCAGGCACAACAATCACTAGAATTAGTGTTAATGTTAATAGTTAGGGACTTGTATGCATAGGTATTGGTTGAATTTATCATGTGAGTGTAGTGCTCGTAACTTTGGCGTAATAATCACCCAAACATGATCACGTTGCCGATAAACGCCATCGTTTACTTAACCTCACATTTGGGATAACTTTATTTTCCATTATAAGTTTTGACGCAGAAAATTAACTTTTTGCACCAAAAAGAGTACAACAAAAAATCCTCTTAATAACAATTATCATATAATGAGTAAAGTTCGACTGACTTGGTAACGAATCCCGTTTTTTTTATTTAATATGGACTTTACCCACATTCTTCATAATAGCCGCATTTACCCTATATTTATTTAAATTATATTTTAAAGTTTTTTTAATATGCAAGAATCCCTCATTCAACGCATCTCAGTGCCGTCACACTAACAAAGATGCTAAACAAATGTAGCTCGTCCACCATTAGCGTTAGAGTTGGTCAATCATTAGAGATGACGTTTCCAGCACAGAAATTTCTATAAATATTGTCAATGACTCACAACTCCGAATTCCGTGGTAAAATTGTCAGTGCAACTGTACATCGGAGTTCACAATATTTGTTTGTCATAAATAGTTACTATGTACGTATTTGGTATACATATGCGATAAAAGAGAAGAATTAAGATTAATAAAAAATTTATGATGTACGTACATGATACGTGTCTCAAATATATACGTAATATGAAGATATGACATCTAAATACATACTGTTATAATATCGGTACAAAAAAGGCTAAAAAGGGCCATCGCCCATTCGGTTCTATCCATTAATCAGTTTTATAATATATATATATATATATATATTTAATATACAAGCCAGGTTAAGTCGACTTGGTAGCTAAGTTAAGATTTACCCACGTTCTCCTTAGCTTATCGAAAATCCAGCTTTAATACCCGTTTAAATTACACAATGTATGGTGATTGATATAACTTGTGCATCACGTATTTAATATCATCTGTGCCTCAACAAGTTTGAGTTCCGGTTTAATTGGTTCATAGAGTATAAAACAAAATTCCCTTTGTCTCTTTCTTAAGCCTCTCCCTTTGATATTCTAACATCTGCGGATCCGAAAATTGTTACAATTTTTGATTTAAACACTCCGTTTGATCGATTTTGTATTCGTTGTATTTAGTTCTTTTTGTTTCATCGCCAAATTAAGGTGAGTTGTTTTTTGTACTATTATTTATGTAATATATGACAATGATCATCCTTATTTAACGTCGGCTATTTCATAATCCGGATTTCCTTACCTCCTTTTCACTTTTTCACCTTAAAATTTAAAATATTACGAAAAAATAATCTTTTGCCTGAAATATTTTGTATTGTATACTGAACTTCCGTGAAGTTTTTTAATTATTGTATTAAATAACAAATACTCACATTTGAATCGTCCTCTAATAACTATTATATTATTGTAAACGACCTTGACAAAAGGCTATAAGATTATTTTATGATGGCTAAGCTTTCCTTATTAGTCCACGTTTTTTTCGTCGCTCTCTTGTTAGGTAGGTTAAGAAACTATCATAAAATGTATTATTTTTATACTTCTACTATACTTAAAGGAATTCACGATTGTTTGCTTTCCAGTTTTTTCACAAGCTGGGCCAATAAAAGATGAATCACAAACCTCAGTCGGCATAGCAGAAATACAAACCTCTCCTGATACGGAGCGCTTTGTAGTAGTTGTTCAACGTATTGATGATCTTGTAGACGATGGAGGTGAAATTCTTGCAGAGAAAATCTCTGCTGTTGTCATTAACTTTGACCTAAAGGATGAAGCTTTAATGGTGAACAATGTCCCAGTTCCATTGAACGTTACTTCTGTTCAGGTAAAATACTACCTTATTTATCTTATTTATGGGGATGTATTCATAATCTTGTTTATTTCATTATTCATCATTATTTAACTTTTGTTAATATAATTTTAGGTACTTCAAGCTGAGATTGTTCCGGCCAATATAACACAAGAACAACTTAAAGAATATGAAAGCAGTTTCGACATTGGAATGGTAACGGTCGAGGTTAACACAATTGCCAATTCTTATCCTACTGATAATCCCAATATCTCTCTTCGTCGCATCATTATTGCCATCCGTATAATCGAAATTGACGGTGTAACTGTTGTCCAAAACGATGTTATTGAGAAGATCCTTGAAGCTAAATTTATCAATAGTGCAGGTTCTGCGGCAGATAGTCAGACTTCTGACTCAATCACTGGATCACCCACAATGGATACTCCTTGCAATTTAAGCACCATATTCGCTAAAATCCGTCATTGGTGGTGTTGTGCTTCCAAGATCACTCGTGTAGCCGTCATCTCTTTGTTCCTTACATCATTATTCGGTGTCTTGTTCATGATTATTCCTGTCTCTATGCAAACTCTTGTCAAGAAGAATCTTGGTTTGAGGCAACCTTATCAAGCTGTCTCGGATCATCACGATGATGATGACGCAAAAGTTGAACAAGTTATTTTCATTGCTGACGAGGAAAAACGAATGTTGATGGAGAAACATGGAAAAGAGGAGGGTCAAGAATAGAGATTATCACAGGTTTTTTTTTAGCTTTGTAACATTTCTAAATTGCGCTTTCTTCTTTTATTTTGTATACACAATTTAGGCTCGTAAATGTGTTTTGTATTTATTATTGTTATATTTTAATGGTCTATATTTAATTGCTCTTATTTTGAACAAATTAGACCAGGGAAAAAAAAAAAAAAAACCTTGTATTGAAAATTTTAGTTCATGTTTAGCTATGTGTGTATGTATTATATATGTACGTATGTACATATTTGAATTGTGTTATTACCTAAACATGCACGACATTAATATATTTCCTAGAATTAACGCACGAGAATCAGCATCAAATTTTTAATGTATCATTTATTATTCATGGTTCATGCTTAAATTTTATAAGTGTATTGTTCCAAAATGTACTCAAAAATGGGATGCTTCTCATTTGCATAGGTTCTTTGAATACATACGGAACATTTGCATACAACGACCATTAGTGTTTAGCGTTACATGACAAGTTTTTAACTCGTTCTTGACGAAATAAGCAAAACCATAGACATTGTAAAAGTCCTATCTTGTGTTTCAAAGCATTAAACATTTGAATCCTGTTACTATACTTGATCTATACATGGCAAACGTTTTTGAAATTTACCCGTCATAATTAAGTTTCGTTCTATGAAATGATATCGATTGTTTATCGTTGTTATTGCTTTATGCTGTCACGAGCTACATTCAAATAAAAAATTTTATGATTTAAAATATTTTTAATGTCCAAATTTGGGCGACAATTTCATTCGCTAGATTGTATTTTAAAAATGATACGAATGCTAATTTAAATAAATATAATCGAAATGAAAATGTTTCACATATTCGTATTTGTTATATATATTTATATTTATATATATATATTTACTATATGACAATGCCTATATCACAGCAGATATTTTCTATATTAATTCTGAAATTTCATAATCAATTTGTAAAGGGTGATTCATTTTGTAGATCCGCCTAATCCTAACCCAACCAGTATTATCCATAATAAAGATCCTGCTGCCAAAGGCATCACAAGATTATCATCTAATCCTCCTACATCTATTAATTCACTAACACCACTAATTATACCTGTTACCAAACATAATGCAGGTAATGATAGTACACTTTTACCTGGTATCCAATTTTCAACTTCGATTTTATGGTATTGTAATCCTCCTCCCCAAAATAATAATGCGGCTATTGATCCAACTGTAATGGCTCCCAATGTGCCCGCCAAAGATTTACCATTACTAAATCTATATGTGTAATGTCCATATTTTCTACCGATGAACGATGCGGCTGTGTCACACCATGATAGTATGAGTATTGATATTGCTGCGATGTCCTAATAATAAAAAAAAACAAAAGCAAAATTATACATATAGTTACAACTTGTAAATATTATGTAAATACACGTGACTCTCGAATTCCATAAATAAATTCTCCATAAATCACCCTTACGAAATGATTATGTAATAAACCAAATGACACAAGTTTTCTCATGATCTCTCACAAGTGTTTATACGTATAAATACCTTCGGAAATATTGACAACACGCCAATACACCCAGCAAGGTAAAATACTACTCCGTTTATTTTACCATACTTTTCTGATTCTCGCATCAAAAATCCCAATACTTTGATGTAAAGGTTATTAAATGATACACTGTTAAACCGTAGTGCATCTGCAATTGATACTATTATAAATGTGATAAGTAGTATGTTACGGGTTGGGACGGGTTCCGCGGATGGGTAGATATATAAGACAAGAAACCCTGATAGATTAAAAGATGGATAAATACGAATGATTTAGATTTATCATATAATTTGTCGGATTGTCGGATTGTATAATGAATCACACAAAAAAAATAAATCTTTTGTTATTAAAAAAATAAAATGAAATAATAAAAATAAATAAAATCAAATAAATTAGAACTGCGTAAACTTGTACGATTTGGAAGTCTAAATCTTTGAGTATACGCCTTATTACAGTACACCCAACACCTTGCAGTTCTAAGTTAATAAGACATAAAAGGCATGCTCTCCGCATACCTTTGTTAAAGCAGTTAAAAATATCAAATAGCTGAGCCTACCTATAGAAGTGTGTAAAAGTTTTCTTGGGATTTCCCAATTCTTTTTCACTTGCATATCGTTGTTTTCGACACCATTCACTAACCGATTTTCTTGCTTTTTTCTTTTTTTCAAGCTTAGTTTATGCTTAAGATGATAACCACCCTTTGATGTAATATTACGATGTATAGCCATTGTATAAGAAAAACTTTATGAAAAAACTTTACGAATTCGTCTACACATGAATGTTAAAGTTCATTTATAAACTTTTGTACTTAATGAATTTCTATTGGTCCAATATGCATCAACCATGCGAATTTAGTTAGCACTAGTGATATAGCTTTTACGTAAACAAAAAATTTCGGTTTTTAATTGGCTATTGATAAAAATATCACAGGTTGTACACTTGGTCTATCTGGGAGTGGCAAAAAACATCTTGCCGTTTGAATAATTTGACATATTGTTTTTTTTTGCCGTTCTAACCTTGTGTCCAACTTTCATAAAACTATATTTAAAGATATAAAAATTAGTACGTATAAAAATTAGATGTTAAATTAAACACTCATCATCTCTAAAAGTAGGTTATCTTGAATTATTGGCATTTTTTTTTTTGGCTATCTCAAAGAGTTCGTCTTTGTTTCGTCCCGCCAAATTGAAAAACGTTACACGATCGATATACTTTTTTAGATGAGTCAATAATATATTTATTTTACTTTGAAGCTTTCGCGTATACTATGTACTGTACCTGATATCTGTCGTTTTCCTGCTTGCCCGAACTCAGTTCGACCCTGTTTGGAACCGAACCCAATGGAACTCGAGTTTTGCCGATCACAACGAATTTGAAATAGATCAGCAATGCTTGATTAGTAATAAACTTTAGACTTTTAATTACTATCGCTATCGCTATCGTTATGACGACGAACAAAAATCAGTTTTTTTGCCCTTTTTTTTTTAATTAAAGTTAATTTAATGTGGCGAAAATTTATTTTTATATACAGTACACCCTCTCAAATCCGATAGCATAGTGGACAGCTTTTGTATCGGTTTTGAGAGGTTATCGGGTTTAAGATACTAATGGTTTACTGGTTACATGATTATTAGGAATGGGATCAGAAGCTGGCTTTGATCACAGATTGAAGCCTAGCTGACCCAAGCTGACCTGAGCTGGCTCACCTAAGCTGGCTCAGATTTGATCATATGATTTGTCTTAAAAAGAGTTATTGCATATGCAATTGAAAGCATATTTATTAAATTCTAATAAATAAGAATAAAATTTATTTTATCAACACTTAACAATAATTTTAAGCAAACTTGACTGAACTATACTTGATTTAGAAACCATTATATGATTGCTGCATTTAATTCTATTAGTATATTTAATTTATAATTATGCTACACAAAGTTAATTCTTTTTGCATTATCTGATGATCAAATTTTTTAAAAATTTAAATTTTTTTTTCTACAATAACAATTTAAAGAAAAAATTTAGTTATCACTGGTGGCAACAAAATAATAGTTACAATTGGCCAATCACATTATATAATGAAATCAAAACAAATATTAAAGTTAAAATCAAAGTTAGAGTTAAGTTAGAGTTGAGATAAAGTATAGTGTATAGTAAAATTTTGCAAGAAATTTTTTTAATTATAATGTTAAAGGTGGTTATATAGGTGAAATTTTGGGTTATAGCAAATTTTTGAAAATTTTTTTTTTTTTTTTTTGTAAATATCATAGTTGAAACTTTATTTAATAAAATAGAAAGAAATTCTACATTAAAGATTTCAGAACTACATTTGTGTTACTAT